GTGGAGAGTGAAATATTCAACTCAAGTTCGCCTCAGTAGCACACCACAAATGCAATGGCTTGGCCGAAATAGCAAACATGTGCCTACTCTAAGCCTTAAGGAAGCGGGTGGATGCAGCAGTGGGAGTCTGGATTGAAGAGCTCCCTGGTATTTTGTGGTCATACAGAACGACTCATAAAACTTCCACTAGAGAAACTCCATTCATGCTGACATATGGAACGAAAGTAGTCATACTAGTCGAGGACGGCATGCCTACTCTACGCCTGCGATACTTTAATGAAGAAGCTAACGGGGGCCTGTCTGTTGAGCGAACTTGACCTTGTCGATGAAGTCAGAGAACAAGCACTTCGATTGCAAGTCATCAATCAACAATGCTTGCTCGACATTATAACAGCCGAGTCTAACTCGGGAGGTTCAAAATTGAAGACTTACAAAAGGCCGCTTTGAACAAAGATACTCGTCGTGTAAAGCCCGTTGCTAGCTGGGAGAGACCTTACTCTATTCTCAAGGAAGCTCATTCGGGAACATACTAGTTATAGGGCCAAGATACGAGGGCTTTCAAGCATCCTTAACTTGTAGAGCATCTCAGAAAATACTTCCAATGAATGTAAATATAAAAACCGTCTTTTAATGAAATACCCATTTGTTTTAACTAATTTGTCTATAACCCTTGCGACTCAGTCTTCATCGACTCGTCCAAGGCAGAAGATTTTGGTGACTTTTCAGTGTAACATTAGTGACTTTTTAGCATAAAATCAAGGCACGAAGGAAACTCTTGCAACTCGGTCTTTACAGACTCATCCAAGGCACAAAGATCATGGTACCTTGGGACTCGACCTTCACCAACTTGTCCAAGGCACAAGACCTCAGTAATTTATAGTGCAAAACTAAGGCACGAAGAAAACCCTTGCGGCTCGGCCTTCACGGACTTGTCCAACATTTCAGTGTAAAATCAAGGCGCGAAATAAGCTCTCATAACTTGGCCCTAGCCAACTCAATCAAAACATCTTAGAACAAATATAAGAAAAGTAAACAATTCAGAACAAAAACACACCAAATTTGAGTCAAAGATAGTTTTTTTTATTCATTTATCAAGAATACTACAAGACTCTGCAGACGTCCCACCAAAAAAAGGTGAGATAAACAGTTTATACAAGTTCTTCATTGAGAAGCACCCGGAGCAGAAGTAGGATCCGAAGATAGAGTTGAAGCGGAACCTGGAACAAGAGTAGAATCCAGGGGAGGAGTTGGAATAGAACCAGGAGAAGCCGTCGAAGTATCCGCAATAGGAGCTAGCTCAGAACCTGGGGGAGCGTCTGACTTGGAACTCGGATCACGACCCTCATCAAGCAACAAACTAACTTCGCTAGAGTCATCACTAACCTCTTCACTTTGCGCTCCGGAGCCGGCTTCATCTTCTATATCTTCCTCTTCGGTCACCAACGAAAGCGCAACTCCCGATCTCTCAACCTCCCTAAATGAACCAAGGCAATTATTTACTCAGGAGGGGTATTTGAACTGGTCGGAATGAATTTTGAGCTCAGGAGGAAGTTGTCACATCAAGTAGTCGAACCTGGCTTTACAAGCAAGGGCGACCTCCACCTTACCCAGAGAGTCACTATGATACTTCTCGACCACTTCAAATTCATGGGCATTCAACTTGAAGTGTATCACCCTGATTCTGCAACACTCGGATCTGCGCTGGGAGGGCTTCACACTGTGGCCTCTTTGTGATTAGAATCCTGAAAGAAAACATCGTCCCGCGGCATGTCCCTTAGGCTCTCCGCATCAAGACGAAGCTCTCGAGCTCACTCGAAGGCGTCTTCCCTTTCCCTTCTCTCGAACAAAACCTCAGATTGGAGACGTATGATTCTCCCATTTGCCTCACTTATGTCATGGCCAAGGTGGTCAATATCCTCTCAAAGAGTTTGTGCCTCCAATCAGCCCTCGACAAGTTGGGGGTTTCCTTATGTTGGGAAGCCTCGATCAAGGCTTTGATCTTATCATCCAGAGCAATATGCTGTCATTCCCACCTAGGCTACCCCCTTTGCAGCACCTCAAGCTCCTTAATCTTAGTAGTAGCCAATAACTCAGCCTCTTTGAGAGTCTCCACCTCGTCCCGAAGCTTATGAAAGAGCAACGGAGACCGTATGAACCGAACGCACATCTCCACCTCCAAAAGTGACCCCCTGATAAGATAGCTCCGCAGGGCTTGATGCAGGTCAACATCAGGCATCTCGCTCAATAGCTCAACATCCCAAGACAGATGGAACTAGTCCACTGCCCTTCCTTCATCGGACTTGAATTCCACGACCGATCCCCTGGAGTCTAGTCAGTGTTCAGGGACAAAAATACTCTCCTCTGAGGGATCCTTCATATGGCGAGGGCAAGTCTCTGACACCCCAATCAGTAGCACCTTCAGTTCCTCCCATTTACGAGGAGGGAGCTCGTCAATGCGATGAGGGAAATTCCACTCACACTGGCCTTCAGCATCGACTTAGGGGCTCGGTTCCTCTACAACAACCGACTCCTCCTCTGATGCAACCAAGTCTTCTAGCTCCTCCTAGGCTGGTTCCTTTCCGGGTCTCCTCACAATCGTGGGACCTTCTTCTATCTTGGCCCCAGTTGGCAGCTCAGTCGCTACCAGTTCCAAGACAAGAATGTCACCCCCTCGAGGCCTCTGCTCAGCCATCGGGTGGGACAACTCGTCCTCCACCTCAATGAGTTCAAAGGGAGGATCTTGAGAATTTTGTGGGGTTGGAATGTTACTAATTTGCCTTGGTGCAGCCTGAACCTACCCGGTTGTACCTTAGTTTCATCATCTACGGCAAGAAGCTCTTAAGCACCGCCTTCGACCAGACGACGTTGTGTCGAGGCTGGCTTCTTTGATCTCTTCCTTCTTTTCAAACTTCTTGACTTGA